CATCATGATCAATTTCAAGTTATTTTTATTCAGTTATGTAATACAATTGCAGATTGTTTCTTTCATAAAACTGCAGCTTTAAGACACAATTATGTACCTGGACACTTGGGAAATGGCCTTGTAGAAGCATCATGCATTCTGCATTTTCTTTACGATCGTAGAGGTCTCTCCCATTAGCCATTTGCACATCTCCCTGAATGCACCTTGTTAGCCGCCAAAAATTGTGCATAGGCATTGTTTTTCATTTCCCCTGGGTATTGCAGTCGTCCCAAGAGAAATTGAAGACAATGGTTACGCAAAATTCTTTGCGGGAGGCAAACAAGGTGCATTATGGGAGATGAGCAAATGGCGAATGGAGGAGAGAGTGAGCATAATCTACCTCTACTAAAAATGCCAGAATTAGACTTTTAGCTCTGGTGTTGTAATCATCTTAAATTCTTTCTTTACTCATGTCTTAACATGGTTCCGACCTGGTTCCTTATTAGAAAAAATGCAGCATATTTATTATACACAACTCACCCACTCATCCCTCTTCAATCATCTTAATAGTGTAACCGTAAGTTTCTGATTTACACCTTGTATTACCGTTAACCTCGGTACTGTTGGACTGAATTTATCCTCTTTTCTTTTTCATTTGTACATTTATACAATAAATTACTTTAGACTACCTTTTTATTCAAGGTGGCTCGATGGACTTTCAGGGTCAATACCTCAAAAGTTTGAGCACAAACCACCTTGCCATTAACAGATTCCACAGCTGTGTTGGATAACAATGAAACTGTGTTACAATCAAGGTTGCAATGACATCAGAGTTGTCACAGCAACAAAATGACCCCACTACCCATTTTACTTGTAGCCTTATTTCTCGGCTTTGGGAGCTCTTTGTCCGGCATTTGGCAAGGAATGCACCATCTCACAAGCTCAATCATCACACTTCTGTGTGCAAAACCAATAAACAAAAGGGATTAGAATTCACCGGTCTAGTACCCTGATGATATGATAAAGATCCCACAAACCATTATGCCACTTTAACAATTAATTTGCAGCCCGTTTTGGAAGTAAATACAGTTGTGCCAAGCAAATTTTCAAAACTCTTTTACACGATAGCTGAAGTCGGAAAGAAACCAGTTTGCAAGGTTTGTATTCAAAATGAATCGAAATGTCAATTATGAATCCTTATCATGAATTGATCGGTTGAATAAGGAAACCTGATTTCGATATCATTGTTTGCAGGAGTACAAAGTGTGGCCTTTTTCTTTAGTGCTATAGGCACACAAGGGCCAAAGAAGCGCCGAAGAAAAATAAAAAAACCTAGAGGATAACGGAGAGGAAATTGATAGCGAGCATTTCACAACTCAACTGTCAAGTTCTTCGAGCCAAAGCTGGATTTCTAGCCACCCAGCTTTGGTGAACAAAAAGCTTCTTCCCGCCATAAATTATTGGATTGTGCTGAATACACCAAAAGGAGCCCCAGCAAATCCCATTACTATTCACCGCGACTTACTTGAATGTGGCGTTCATGAAATCGCAAACACGGTACACTTTCCCNTCACAGCAACAAAATGACCCCACTACCCATTTTACTTGTAGCCTTATTTCTCGGCTTTGGGAGCTCTTTGTCCGGCATTTGGCAAGGAATGCACCATCTCACAAGCTCAATCATCACACTTCTGTGTGCAAAACCAATAAACAAAAGGGATTAGAATTCACCGGTCTAGTACCCTGATGATATGATAAAGATCCCACAAACCATTATGCCACTTTAACAATTAATTTGCAGCCCGTTTTGGAAGTAAATACAGTTGTGCCAAGCAAATTTTCAAAACTCTTTTACACGATAGCTGAAGTCGGAAAGAAACCAGTTTGCAAGGTTTGTATTCAAAATGAATCGAAATGTCAATTATGAATCCTTATCATGAATTGATCGGTTGAATAAGGAAACCTGATTTCGATATCATTGTTTGCAGGAGTACAAAGTGTGGCCTTTTTCTTTAGTGCTATAGGCACACAAGGGCCAAAGAAGCGCCGAAGAAAAATAAAAAAACCTAGAGGATAACGGAGAGGAAATTGATAGCGAGCATTTCACAACTCAACTGTCAAGTTCTTCGAGCCAAAGCTGGATTTCTAGCCACCCAGCTTTGGTGAACAAAAAGCTTCTTCCCGCCATAAATTATTGGATTGTGCTGAATACACCAAAAGGAGCCCCAGCAAATCCCATTACTATTCACCGCGACTTACTTGAATGTGGCGTTCATGAAATCGCAAACACGGTACACTTTCCCTTCGTGCATCATAAATTAATCGTTTTCACAAACGTGCGCATCTTTTAAAAACGAGAACAACAACTTTATGTTATTTCAAAATCAGTGTTTTTATAGCATTTGTCCTAGAGTTTTGTTGTACAAACGTTAAAAATAAAACATTTGATAAGCACTTTCAAGGGTTTCTGTTTTCCTCACAAGTTGGTGATTATAGGAGTTTTACGGGGAATACTTCTAGGATTGTTCATTTGTAGGATTTTATTTAAGTATAATTGTATCCCTGCTGGATGCAAAATATGTCTAGCCCCGCCGTAGTCTAAACTATTACTAACAGTCTGCAGAATAGTTAACATACTGTCTTTTTACGGTTAGTCTTTGCAGTATATATCAAGGTAAATTTTTCACAAGATTCTGAATGAAATTATTTTCTCATGCTTGGCTCCTCGTCATGTCAAAGTATTTTGTTATGGCAAAATAAAGCATTGTATAGCCTTAACTTTGTTTTTGTTTTTATTTTACTTCACTCACGCAAACTTTCTATTTCTTCTTTTTAAAATAAGGTTCCCTGTCAAAAAGGCAAAGAATCTCTTGCGATGAAGGAGCTATTCAAAGTACTAAAGGATCACAACAACAAGTTTATGCAGGACTTAGTAACATCTTTCCTACCAGCAGTGTTTTCTGACTGTGGCGGAGGGGTTTTTAAGCGATTCTGAATCAATGGATGTGGAGGAATGTGGAACGGAAAACGTAGTCAGCGTTCGCGTCATCCAATCCTTAAGTCTATTGTTTCTGAAACAATAGATAAAATGACGGGAGCGAAGTTAGTGATTGATCGTTATGGCTTGGATGGTAACAGCCAAGAATCCCAAGAAGAAAGAACAAGTGACAGCATGGAACCGCGACTAGGTGACAAGCTTACAGTCCTCATAAATGATATCTCGATTGCAATGAGGAATCGGAAATACGCCCTTTACAGGGGCACTATTTATAAAAAGTGTGAAGGTGCCACTTACACCTACTCCTACAAGTGTGATGTGAAGGCGTTTGTGAACAGTCTGGCTGCAAATTAGTCATTTAAGGCAAGACTGCTGAGGGACATGCAAAAAGTTATCAATATCCTGGTGGACCCTGATTGTGAAGTAATTCGTCCCATTGTTGTTGACTACAACCTCATAGAGGTGAACGAAGGGGAATGTTGGTCTGTCTCGGAAAAACAGTTCTTGAACAACGCAATTCCAGCAGAGAAAATGGGCCTTGTGACACCCAGGGCTTTCTCGCGTTATGATCCTTCCAAAGTCCCGCAGCCTAAATACTACTAAGACGCTTTGGAAAACAGCCTGACAGAAAACGAGATTGGTTTGTTTTGTGAAGATTTCTTGAGGCTTCTGAATTTCAACCAAAAGAAGCACAAGGAGAGAGTGCCATGCCTTGTTGGTGAGCCCGATAGCGGAAAGACAAGTCTGTTTTACTGGGGCTGATTCACCACAGCAACGTAGCAACTGTAACCAAGCAAAAAGTGTTCAACAAGGCAATGATCGGCAAGAACACCGAGGTGATATTCATTGACGCGGCCACTCCATCGACCCTCGATGTGGACGACTGGCAGATACTCACTCAAGGAGGGTACACAGCCTGCGATGTCAAGTACAAAACAGCTAAGTCATTTTTCAATCGATGTCCCATGTTCATGACTGCACAGCAAAAACTTCAATTCAAGGAGGAAGATCAGCTGGCTATGGACCCAAGGCTAAGGTCTTACTTCTTCAAAAGCCTGTCAAGTCCGAAAAAGAAGGCCGCCCAGTGGCTGCGCAAGCATCCTATGGAATGTGTTTTGTGGGCTGCATTGAAAGCGAGGGTAGATACAGATGAAGAAGAAAGTTCTGATGACGACGACGAAGACACGGAGCGAAACACACCAAACGACAAAGGCCCACTGCTGGAGACTGAGAAAGAGGTTTTAAGAAATGTGCAGTTGACCAACCTCTTAGCTGATTTACGTGCAAATCCCAGAGACAAAGAGGACACTGCAGGAGACGATAACGGGGACCAAATCGTGGATGCCAATGATGACGATGAAACCACACACGCGTTAAAGAACTCGCTTGCACAAACTTTACCGGGGTCTTTGGATAACCCTCACCTCAGCCTCTTACTTGAAAAGCGTTTACAGCAAAACGAAGAGAGGATGCCGCGGGAAATACAACGGCACGAGAGACATCAACAGCGTCTCAGATCAAAGGGCGTCTCCAAAGAAAATGTACATTTGCTACCCCACGATCTAAACGAGCCCCTTCCCACACCGATAAGAAATGATCTGGCCATTCACGAACAGATGACAGCCAGGGCGGATCGAAAAGAGAAGAAGACGAGGGCAAGCGAAGCATTCCAGTGACCATGGTTGAGGAATACAGAGAGGGAGTTAAACGAATGCATGGTCACCCTGGAATCAAGTATTACGCCTGACATGAGAGACTCAATGGATGCCCTGCGTGAAATCCTAGAAGGAAAGCTCAAGGACCACCACAACAACTTAGGAACTCTCGGATGCCACGAAGCCCTTGCGGAGAGGAAAAAGGTATGCGCGGAGCTCTGACTGTTGAGAAAGGAAGACCAACACATGGTGAAAAACTTCTTCGAAGCACTGCCAGTCCCGAGCTCGAGCCAGAGAGAAGAAATGGAAGAGGTATTAGAGCAAGACAAACCCAGAACGCCAAATAACGTGCCCCAAGACAACCTGGAACAATATGGCACACATTCGCTGTGCACGTTCAGCTACGTCACTGGATCTGACGATGACAGCGTCAATGACGAAGCGACATTTTTCATGACTCCTGTCTCTAGCAGAGCAATGTCACTCCGAACCATAACCACTGAAGCCAGTAAGCGCAAGCATTCCTCCTCAAGCCAGCGAGTTACGAAAAAACATTGCCAAAGCAACAAAATAAACATGTATTTCTCAAGTCAACAGTAATTTATTTCTTCTTGCAACAACAATAAAATGCTGCTTGTCATGTAATGAACCATATCGCTGATTGCCTTTGTCGTTCTTTATATTTCAAGGATATCTTTTTATTCTGGGGTAAATGTAAAGTTCTAGGATGACTTAGAAAGTGATCCGAATCTTTGCGCTGCACGGCTCAGCAGTGAGTTGGCTGTCCTTCCCTCTTGAAAATGAAATTCGGAATCCCTGAGAATCGCTTTCCATTGACTGTAGCTGTGTCGCTCAATGCCTGCTTTTAGATAATTGTCTTCTTCAGGGGTGAACATCAAACTCTTTTTTCTCGCCGGGAAATCTGTCACTATAAACACATTTTCCCGCTTTAGTCTCGGGACACCTGAAAGACGCTTGGGTTGTGTTTCTGTGATCTTTTCTCCCTCGTTGTCAGAGGAAGTATTGGTTTTGCTACCATTTTGATCTTCAGATGACGCAGAATTGCCTCGAGCGCACGTCTTTTTCTAGCTATGATCCCTTTTTCCTGTGCAATCGTTCCAAATATTCATGTGCTTTGCTCGCCACCTCGCGCGATCGCTGCTTCTGATAGTGAACCCTTGCAACAACAGAGCTATGTTTCTGGTCCTCGGAGATTGTGCTCTGCGCGCTGCTACTCAGCTGCCTGCAACTCGCAGTCTCCACAATTTGCCCGTTGCATCGAAGACCAGTTTACTCATTAGCTCTCCCAGCTTATTGTGCTGCCCTCCATTTCTTGTCACCAATAAAAAGTTGCAGGTCGATCTTAGTAGGGGGCGAATGTGGTTGATGTAGCCATCCAACACTTGCATGCTCGTCTCAGTCAGGTAAAGAGAATCGAAGCCAAATTTTCCAGCCGTTTTGAACATTTTCTGGTCTATAAATCCACCATTAGTCTTGGCTTTGTTCACCATGTCCAACGTTAAGTACTGATATGTCGGGGCGCGAGCCCTTGACCTTGATAAATAAATAGACTGCCAAAGATTTGGTAGCAAAATATAAATCTATTGGCAAAATAGCACCCGGTTTCTCCTTGCATGATATCAGTATGCTCTCGTAGCGCGGCAAGTAGCGCCTCATGACTTCCAACAGTTCTTCTAGTGTGGCCCAGTGCCCCTTGGCTTCTAAAGCATCGATGTCGAGCTCTCTGGTCCACTGCAAGCGCATCATTTTGGACACGGTTTTACGCACCTTTTTCAAGTAAATTTCTGTTGAAGCCAGCCCTCTTAACACTGATTCTGATGCTCCATTCACTTTTCGATAATCCACCAATTCTGCAATGGCATCCAAGTAGCCTATGCGTCCCGCATGTCCCAGATTCCAATCATCCTGCATCGTATCAACAAACTTGAAAAGCAGATTCAGTGAACATAAACTAAAGTCCACAATGTCAAATGTGAGCTCCTCTTCATCTTCGCCACAAAAATGTGTTTATGTTCGGAATTTGCATTTATGGCCGCAGTTTGATCCTCTAGGGATTTCACGTCACATCTTGGTATTTAAGCCTTGTCGCCTCTCGCGTTAGTCACTCGACACAGCCAGTTTTACCGCTCGCACCTTGCCGAGCTTAATTTTGTAGTATGGGAGACGAGCCTGTTACGAAGCAAGATCTTGCTAGTTTCAAGGATTTCGTTGTTAGTCAGCTCGCCCTTCACAAATCAGTTATTTCGTCCGAGGTACAGAAATCGCAAGAGGTCGCCTCAGCTGCCCTTTCTGCTTCTAATTCTTTGAAGGAACAGTCGGAGATCAAGTTTAATCACACCGGCAACGAACATAATTTCAAATTTAACGGTCAAGTGTTAGCCAAGCTTGTTTCACTTAAGGATTGTTTGGCCGATCTACCTCCCGAGTCTGAGGCGTTTTCAATTGTTGACGAAACCGTACAACTATTACAGGAACGTAACCGCAAGATACGGATCGCGGATTCGTCCGAGGCCGGTTGGTTGACTGTTAAACACTACGAATCTAATCCCGTCTTGTTGAGCGAGGACGACGACAAGAAAATTCGCGCTGCAGAGAGGCAGGCCTTCTGCTAGTTTTTGGCCTTACCTTTTTCCTCTAGGTCACCCTCGGGATTCAGTTTCCCGAATCATAGAATTTTCTGACCCGTCAGGTATTTTTGACGATTCCTACTTGGGGTTCCCTACTATTTTTAGCACTTGCGGTTTTCGCGCTCCTGTACTTGTTATTTATTTGGACGCCAGCTCGCGTGTTTAGAACCGTTATTCAAGCATTGGTACTTTATTGCAGAGCTTTTCCCGCTATTCCATGTAGCGCTTTTAGGGGTTCACGGACGACTCTCGTTGCTTTATAGCGGTTCACCTACGCTGTTTAGCGCTTTATAGCGGTTCGTGTGTGACCCTTGTCGCTTTATAGCGGTTCACATACGATATTTAGCGCTTTATAGCGCGTCCTTTTTTCGGTTTATTTCGGTTCGTTTTTTCATAGTTTTTTACAGGCTAGTGCCTTATTGACAGTCGCTCTAGAGCGTGTTTGCTTTTCTTTTGTAAACGTATGGCCTTTGTTGGCAACGTTGTACGAATTTTAGGGGTTTTTTGTTTTCTCCGTATATTGTTGTTATTGCCTATACTTAGTATGTACGCGTTATTGGTTGTCCACGTTTAATAAATTGCAATCGGAATTCCACGTCTACCATTTTTCCTCTTTTCTCTTATGCCTTATTTTTTTCCTTTATTTGTTTACAAGTTCCAGGGTATCACGTGTTCACCATCCAGCTTTGGAGAGCCTGCGTACGCACATTTCAGCGGTTCTTGCCCACAGCAAGGCTCCTAGCACGTTCAAGACCTACCACGGTTGTTTCAAACGTTGGAAATCTTGGGCCAGTGGTTTCCCAGAGGTTATTTACTTCCCGGCTCAAGAGGAACACGTAGCCTTGTATTTAATTTCGTTAGTTCAATCAGGGTCTTCATATTCCTCCATTCAGCGGGCGTTCTACAGTATAAACTTTTTTCATAATGCTTGCGGGGTCTCGCATCCTTGTAAATCAGCTTCTCTGGCTATTCTAGAAGGTTGTAAGCGCGTTGCCTCGAAACCGTCTAAGTTGAATAGGGTACCCATTTTGCCTGAGCATTTAGTCGCGTTAGTTAATAGATTTGCTACGCCCTCAGCATCCCTCGGGGATATCAGGGATGTTTGTTTTTGTTTGCTTGCTTTTGCTGGTTTTTTGCGCTTTGACGAGTTAAGTTGTCTTAGGTGGTCTGACATTTCTTTCTTTCAAGATCATATTGAGCTCTATGTTTCCAAAAGCAAAGTTGATCAATTGGGTAAAGGGTGTACTTTAGTTATTGCTAGTACTGGTACCCCCACATGCCCCGTGCTATGCTGCTCCGTTATGCCGCTCTGGTTAGGCGTAATCTTGATTCGGTTGAGTTTGTCTTTCAAAACCTTAGTTTATCCTCTTCTAAGGGTTATTCCCTTCGTTCCGGTATGAGTTTGTCTTACACCAGGGCGAGGGAAGTTGTTTTGGCTAAGTTTCGGGCCATCGGTGTTGATACATCGGGTATAGGTTTGCACTCGCTTAGGATAGGGGGCGCTTCGGCTGCGCTTAATAGTGGAGTTCCCGATCACGTCATTTAAAACCACGGCAGGTGTAAATCTGACTCTGCCAAGCAATTATATTGCCGTGAAAATCTCCGACGACAGCTTCTTGCTACTTCACGCATAGGTCTCTGAGTTACGCGCGCTCGCTCTTGTTCTTTGTTTTTCTCGACACAACTGGTCGTGTCCTTGCTATTTCACGTGTTGTTGCCTTTCTGCTGATTAGAACTTAAACGTTTTCTCTGCGGCGGAACGCAGTGACATAGCAGAGAAATGTGTTTATGTTCGGAATTTGCATTTATGGCCGCAGTTTGATCCTCTAGGGATTTCACGTCACATCTCGGTATTTAAGCCTTGTTGCCTCTCGCGTTAGTCACTCGACACAGCCAGTTTTACCGCTCGCACCTTGCCGAGCTTAATTTTTCTAGTATGCTGTTTACGTTTAGTCTCGTAGTTTACAGTGATGTAATTCGTTTTTCTCCGCCACTACTTTATTTCTTGTATGTTTAGCTTTTTCTCGTCCCCAATAAACACAACTGGTCGTGTCCTTCCTATTTCACGTGTTGTTGCCTTTCTGCTGATTAGAACTTAAACGTTTTCTCTGCGGCGGAACGGAGTGACATAGCAGAGAACTTGAGAAACTTTAAGCACTTGCTTACGATCTGTTGTGCTCGTTGATCACTTTCACAGTCCCCACCACTGCCAGTTAGCCACAAAAAAAAGTTCTTGGCAATGTTGTTTGTAGGATCAAAAGAGGCAATTGCCCTGCTTTTACGCGTTATAATCTTCTGATCACTGGCTTCACATTTGTTGGTTTCATCGACATTTAGCGTACTGTCTGGCTTCTCGTCGAAGTAATAGTACCAACTGTGTTTGTTCTTTACGTGTTTTCTACAGCTTTTTGCGTAGTGAATCCATCGTGCTTACAAATTTGCACTGGGCAGTGAAAAAGACCATCACAGTCATCCTCTTCTAAGTGAAGTCTCTTTGGTTTAGGCGATGCATTTGCTAACTTGACCAGTGACATCCTTGCCTCGTTTGTTCATCTTAAGCATTAGCTTGAAATCGATATCTTTCTAAAGTATGCATGCACTTATACTAGCAAAAGGGTCCCTAAGAGATCATCCTATTCGCCAATGAGATATTTGTTAGCCCATCTCTGCCCACACTGATTTATTCTTGCCCTTGCCCCATTGTTTTCTTGTCCGTATTTGGTACACAATTAATCAAAAGGAACAGACACAAGCCTGAACTTGCGCGGGCAAGCCCAAACGAGATTAAGCATGCAGCGGGCAAGTCTCAGACTTAACTTGATTGTTGACGGATACATGTTTTGATAAATTTGTATAGCGGAGGTGATGGACAGTAGTTTCAGATAGCCTACGATAAATAGGAACTATTGTTCCCTATTCCTTTTTACACTTTGCGCAAAATGGAACACTAGTTGTCACAAATTCGGAACCTGTTCCCATTTATAAGCGGAACATAACACTCATCTTGAGGAACAAAAAACGACCTTGATTAGGAACAATTCCGTTCCTGTTGGGCACGAATAGGAACAATTTAAACCGAAAAAAAAGGGAACAAGGCGTTCCGAACAGCAGTGGATATGCCAGTAAATAGGAACGATGTGTTCCTTACTGTGTAGAGCAAGAAATTAGATTGGGAAAATTTGTTCCCCAATCACTTCGAAAGGAACATGAAAGGAAATCGGAAGTGTTAAAAGAGGACCTTTTGTTCCTGAAAGGATAAAAGAGGAACCAGTTGTTCCTTTTGACTAAAACGAAAAGGAGCTTTGTGTTCCAATTTGCTGCTAACGGACCAGATTGTTCCGAAATTTGCCGACCTTTGTTCCTATTGTGCAAATAAAGTTCCCTTATTGTGCGTTCCTAGGTTGTTCCTAAAGCAATTAAAGGAGCAAAAAGCAAAAACGCACGGAACACTACGTTTTTGAAAAAGAGATGTTTCCTCGTGTCGCGTCACTTAAAATCAAACTTGGAAAGTTTCCTCATGTAAAAAGCAGGCTGACAATACTAAGGACAAAAATGCAATTGAAAACTACAGTGTTTTAACCTGAAATGTTGCTATCATTACTTTTGGGTAATGTCTATGATCGATTCCCAAAAAGTCAGTTCCCTTTTTTTGAAGCCGTAAAATAATACTAAGTACTTGGAAAATCAAAAAAGCAAAAAAGCACATTCTCAGATCTTTTGCTAAAAACTACAAATCAATCTGAACGTTTTTCTGGACAAGCGTTCCTCGTGAAAGAACGACCATAGAAAGGCACGCTCGTCCTATACTGTGTGAAGATATGTTAGCCTTAAAGGCTTTCCCAAAATTTAGTTCCTTCTTTGGCAGTGATGACAAAGATGCTTAAAGCCAAAAAAAAAACTTTATAGTGAATTCTGTTGTTAGGTAGTCACTCTCCCATTACTCCCATCAAATCAGTCTTTCCCGTCTTTGACAAGAAGTTTTGGAAGCTAACATAAGTTAACGTAACGTAAGTTCCCTTCCATGTAAACTTCTAAAATTCCTTGTGAAAGACGGATTTAACGGATTTAGCGGGGATATGAATGTTTAATGATATATCATATTGTAAACTACTCTTGAATACTGTAAGTAAATTCTTAGCAACATTTATTAAATATTTCTTTAATATGTACTTACAGTTTTAAAGAGAAACATATGATTAACTGTTTCATTAAAAATTCATATCCCCGTCAGACCAGTCGAATCCATCTTTCCCGTCCTTGTTTGAGAAGATGTTTCCTAAGCTAATATATTACAACTGATTCACTTAACAGCACTGTAAGTGCTCTTCAATGTAACCTTATTAGTCAATGGGAAAGACGGATTTCACGGATTTAGCGGGGATCAGATCCATCTTTTCCTTCCTTGTTTGAGAAGATGTTTGCGGTCAAAGAAATGTATTACATTTGATCAGTTTGAGCACCTTTTGTTCAGACTTACGTTTCACGAAACTCGGAATAGCACAAAGTACATGACAATCGTTTACAACTCAAATCTGTTTCATATGTTTTTCTATCAACAATAAGCAAGCCTTACAAAAGTATGAATGGTTTAATTAAGTTTTCAAACAACAGTTTCCCATGTCCAATTTTGAGCACTTTTTTTGCAAAATTCAGTTGTTCTCATCAGGGAAGTTTCGAGTTACGCAGAAGAATGCAGCATTACATCACTTTGTAGTAACCATTTTGTGTTGCAATTATCACTAGTTTCTGTCCACTTGTTTTCCCCTAAAAACCTATGAACCTTGGGGACAAAAACTGTGAGAAAACTGCAAACGAAATTTCACAATTATCGCCAACGTTCTTTACAAAGTGAACGAGTCAAATCTGTTCCCTTTGTGTTTCTCTCAGTGATAAGACAAAGCCGCCTATCAATAGTATTAATGTTGCAACCACGTAAAGTTAGGACTCTACAAAATTTAGTTGGTTTCACCAGATATGTTTCGAGTAACACAGAAGAACGCAGAATTACGTAACTCTGAAGTAATGGTTTTGTGTTGCAATTATCGCTAGTTTCTGTCCACTTGTTTTCCCTTAAAAACCTATCAACCCTAGGGACAAAGACTGCGAGAAAACTGCGACATAAATTCCATAATAATAGCCAGGTTTACTTGCAATTAGTAGACCATTATGGTTGAAACTGTAAGAGTGTCAAAAACAGCGAGTGACATTTCTTCATATTTA